TAGCATGCCTTTTAGGCTTCGGGTTTTGAGGGAACCGAGGCAGTATCTCGCGGTCAGACTTTTCAGTCACTTTGCAGTCTGACAGACTGAGCATTATCAGGCGTATAGGCCTCGGTTTGGTCGGAATCGAGGCAGTAGCTTTGTTCCAAAACGGTTTTGTTGAGGACCGATGTATATAACGTTTTACGCTTTCGGTTTTCGTATAACCGAGGCGTATAATGGGCGTCAAAATCCAAATTTTTTACTAGTGTGCAAAACATATGATAAAAAATAAGTTTCCATTATTATCAAAATCAAAACATATAATTACAATAAAATTCAGTTACACGAAAAACTTCTTAACACCAATAGATTTCAATTATTTAAAAAGTGAAAATATTTAATAACCGACAATAAAACTTAAGTTATACTGAGAAACTTCTTTAACACCAAAACTTCTTTTAACACCAATAGACTTAATCAATTATTTAAAGAGTCAAAAACATATACTCATAATATAAATTATTATGAGAAGAATCGAAACCTATTTCCTTATTTTTTTTATTCAAATTTCAAATATTTTTCATTTTTTGAATCGAATGTCAAAATAGGATATTTAAAATATTTTTGAATTAATTTGTGGTTCGATTTACTTAACAACTGAGTCTATACTATTCGAAACCTATATCCTCCTTTTTTATTAACCTGATATAATAAAAACCTGATATAATAAACTTATACCACACTAAAGTTCACTCCTATGTTTATTTGCTTAGAATTATGTTATACTATAAATAATACTATAAATATAAATATATTTGATATAAGAAATAAGATTAGAAATAAATTCGACTAAAATATAAACAAAATTAAGAATAAAAGATGAAATAATACTTATGATTAAGTTAACAATTCATATTAACTTTTAAAAATCAATCGTAATTGTTATAAATTACTTTATAAATAAGTTCATAAATTTATTTATTTATTTCTCACAAATATTTATACCAATTTTAGAACACAATATACGGTGTTACTAATTCATGGATGTATAATGTTATCTCTTCCGTATATAGACCATTACCAGATAGATTGATATGGACGAAGCTTTGGGAATCTGGGAGCATGATATTTTTAAAAGGCAGTATATCTGATATGCATTGCAAACTGTGCCACAGTCTGCAAGCATATTCATTATTAATTAATTAACAGCAACACAGATGAGATATACTCATATTCCAGAAGAGTATGGCACCCCTGTAGCAGGAATCCACCTTTCTCCTTGCACAAACTGTCTCACTGTGAAAGGTGATGCCTCAGTAGCACTGCTCAGCACATGAAAACCAGGCCATCTGACTCTATTTGCTGTAGAAGCACCACCTCCTGTGTTCATATACTCTCCATAGAACAAGGTTGAAAGTGCAAAACTTCCACTCCATTCACCCCACCCTTTTGGCTCAATCATTTCATCCAACTCACTCTTCATGAACACGGTCCTTGAGTACTTCCTCCATGGCCTTCCCAGGAATGTCTTCTGGGAATTCTTAAGGCTGGCAAAATCTGATGCTGCTCTAACTCTGCAACTTTGCATTGCAATCCCTGTGTTCTTGTTAGGGTCATCTCTTCCTTGTGCTGTTATAAAATTCGATTGCTGGCTCAACGGCTTCCTCACTAAGATGTCACAGTTCTGTAGCACCACTGCAGCATCCCCGAATATGAAATCTACGGTGCCGTAGATTTCACAGTCACGGTAGAATTGGCGGTTCGAGAGCACGTAAAGAGTATCTTGGTAGCCCTTGAAGCTGCACCTGTAGAACACTGATAAGTCTGAACTAACCTTCAGTGCCACTGCTTGGTGCTTTTCTGGACCTGCACTGTTCTCAAATGTCATGTCTCTAGCCCAAAATCCATCTCCTGATACATCTGGTTCATGTACCAAACTCAGTTACAAAAATGTTTCATACCTTTTTCAGTATATAGTTAAGCTTAAGATGTACTGATATTACTTTTTTGTTTAGCCAAAATTATCAGTCTTACCAAATGTAGCTGAGCTCAGAGTGGTGGATCCTTGAACTACATTTCTGTTCCCAGTAACAACAGTTCTGTCTATGCCATCTCCTACAAACATCACATTATGCAGTTTCTGTCCAATATTCACCTTCTCGTTATAGACCCCTGATTTTACGTATATGATTGCTCTTGCAGGACGGTTATTTCCCATTGCAGAAAGTGCATTCACTGCTTCTTGGATTGTTCTGTGTGTCCCTGAACCATCCTGAGCCACTGTGAAATCTGGCTTATAGCTTGCTTCACTCCATGATTCTAAAATACCAGAACCTTTGGATATTGTTCCCTGAAGTGGTGGTCCTGAACAAACAATTAAAATATCAGTATAACAGAAAAAGTAAGATACTGCTATAAATTACTCTCGGATATCTATCGTCTTCTTCTATATTACTTTTTAAAAATCATTGTTTCATGTTAAAATCTCATTTTATAGATCAATGATTCTTTAAATATGTTTTCTAGAAAAACCCTTGCTCAATATTCAAGACGTTAGTTATATGCTAAAAATTGAATGATTTATTCCATAAACCATTGACCACAAAATGAGTTATGATTTAGTCCTAATCAGTGTTTCTATTCCAGCACAATTTATTAATTTATATGATTAAAATCTGAACTACTCTTGCAAGCATTTATACTAATTAATAAATATTGGTTCATCATTAAGAACATATAGTAAATTATTTTTTTATAATTATACCCTTGATCGATATTTCAAGGATTTAAGAGTATATTGAAAGTATTAAGAGTAATTAAGAGTAAAGAGAGATCTACAATATAATAAAAATATATATAATATTTTTATTGAATTTAAAATATTGATTATATTTTTTAAATTGTGTCAAATTATTTCACAAGAGCATGGTCAAATTGGAAAAGTTGGTGTATCGGATGACAGAGAATATTAGCTTTTATCTTAAAGGGAGAAGAAACCAAATAGTTAGTGACAGTGTAACAAAACATCTTAAGTACCAGTTAATAATCACTTTTGTTTACTTATACTTAGGGAGACCAAATGAATGAGTTTAGTTATTGCATATCACTGTCACCGTTCTTTGATTTTTATTGTTTCATGTACTAAAGGACAATATTCTGACCTTCCGTAACAAAGACAATCTTCTAAGTTCTTTTTGCAGAAAAAAAATAATTAAATTGTATATATCCTTTAGGAAATGTTGGAGGAGATAAGCTCACACATGTATAGTTTCTATAAAGGGTCAAAAATCAGATGAAATTTATGCGTAAAAAATACATGAAAGGGGTAAGAAAACTTTTATTAAGAAATTGATGTCACAAAGTTTCAAAACCCACACCTTAATTAATTTCTAAATGTCCCCATCAGTAAAAAAATGTGATTCTAATTTTGACTGTGCTGATAAATTTTTATCTGACCTGAAATCTCTCAGATTTATGCTAAAGTGATAAATTGGTGATGTTCTAAATGAACAATATGAAAATTTCAAATTTAGGACACCAATTGTACAATAATTTAAATAATAATAAGAATTGTATTGAAATTTTGAAAATTGAAGTATTAGATAAATAAACAAAACAATTGCACTTGTGAAATAACATATAATAAAACTTAAAAAGTTATATTTATAAAAGGACACATGCACGTGTATGTGTGTATATATATATATCCTTGTTGAAAGACAGTGTCAACTCTTATTTTAAAAATTCGATGACACCACTCATTCATGTAACATTCAGTGCAATGGCTAGAATATGAATAATGCTTTGTTTATGCCAAAGTTGATAAACTGTTACATACATATATGAAGATTCCATGCACATACTGATACTGATACATATTAGTTTGTGATGGGTCCGATTAAAATGTACAGCACATAATCTATAACCAGTAAATCTATTGTCAAACTGTTTTACATAATCTATTATAAAAATGTCAAAATGTTTGTCAAAATGGTGTTAAAATATCATGCTCCATCTTTGTATCATATATATATATATATATATCAAGTAACTTAATTGTATTTACCTTTGGCTATGACTTTATTTCTTGAATACAAAATAAGAGCTTGTTTAAGCGACATGGTCAGGTTTCTATCCAGAATCTGAGCTTCAAGATACCCTTTTTCTTGCAGACCATCCAAACAGGTCCTGTGATTCGTCATCACAGCACTTATCCATGTGAGTGCATCTTCTCTGGTGTAAGTGTTGTTCTGAGACATCATGTGAGAGAGCCTAGACTCACTCTCCTCATAGAGCTTGGAACAGTCTCTGAGGGCTATAACACTTGTTTGGTGATCAGAAAAGCTTAGGCTTAGGCTTTCAAAGCCATGCAATGTCAAAGCGTTTGCAACCCAGTTTTTGGCTTGAGAAACATGATTCTGAGCCATTTGGAGGACACCCTTTTCTTGGAGGCAAAGGGTGGTGGTGGCCATTCCAAGGATGAGAAACAAGGTGGTGGCGGTGGCGGTGGCGGTGGTGGCATAAGTAGCCATTGTTTTTTCTGCTAGAGAGAGCAATGAATAGTATTGTGATGAGTTGCATGGGTTGGTGCTGTGGGACGATGATTTATAGCCACCTTAAGAAAGCACAAAAACATGGGTGCTAGCCACGTGGCACTAGGACTTTGTGGTCTAATTATAACCAATATATGACCTGTGTTTTAATATTTGTGGATGTAAATTTTTCAATAGTTTATACTCATTTTTTTCTTGAATTTAAGAGTAGGTGGGTACAATTTAATCAAATATAACGAACTATATTGTCCTTGACTTAGCAGCAAAGTGTTTTCTGCATAAATGTAATGAAACATGAAAAGAAGTTCTGCACTGAAAATATGAAATATTTAGTTTTGCACGTTTCAATCCGAAATAGTAGTTTCATAAAGATGCTTTCGCGTTTCTTTTGTCATGATATGTATGGACTTTTTCAAACCCTAGCTAGTTATAGTTTCATAATTTGAATTTGTCCTTGAAATTTGATGTTACAAGGATAAATAACATAGTCTATGTCCATGACCATGTCATGCATGAGTTCGAAAACATAACTTGTGATAAAAAATGTTATCCATTTTGTTTTCCATCTGTAACATCACTCACTCTGTCACATAACAAATTTCATAGTCCCTGCACTAAATCCACCGCTTCACACAAATCCACTTCCTCGATCGATGCAAACAAAGTCTCAAACAATTTATAAATTTATGTGAAATGAAACCTAAATATTGTTTATGAACGTTCATTTTAAGTAAGTCTAATATATAAAAGCCAGTGGTTTAATCTCAAAACTTATTTATGGTTATAGTTATTAAATTTAAACTTTTAAATAATTTAAAATTTAGCTTTTAAACTAACAATTTTTTGCAATTAATTAACTAGTAAGTTATAGGTAATATTGAGTCTAAAAAAAGAGAAATGCGGGACTGCGTTGGGTTCGCGCTAATACGCGGTGCGGTGCAATCCAGACAAGGCTTCAATGGTCCCACATATTAATAATAATAAAAGTTAAAAATAAATTTCAATAATAATAATAATAATAATAATAAAATAATAATATGTATTTCTTGAAAAGTGAACCGATAATGTTCATGCGACAATTACAAATGTCTTCTTGGAAATGTTAGTAAATCGATCTAATAGAATAAAAATTGAAAAAAAAACTATTCCAAAAAATTAAAAACTAAAAAATTGATTATCATAAACTTGAAAAACTGTTTTTCTTTTTCTTGTTTTTTACTGAATCGAATTTATGTGAGTTTAAAAATAGATACCGAATTTGTACATATGTATGTATTTTAATACATAATTTTTATCGTATTACTATTTCAAATAAACACTATCTATTAATAAATAATTCTTTTTTAAATAAGAGTTGTTTAAAAGTATTGTAAATAATATTTAAATAGATAACACCTAAAAAAGTTGTTTATGAAAAAGAAAACATTGTAAATTTTATAGTCGTGATATATATATATATATATGTATGTATATATGTGTGTGCGCGCGCGAGAAAAATGTATAAATTTTTACTATAATTTAAGTTGGGACGTGTAATATAATTATGAAACTGTAAATATATTTTTGAAAGAGTATATATATTTAAAAGTTATAGTTTTATTAAATGTTTCCATTTATGTTTAAGAAAGTATTGTGAAGAAAAAGTAAAAGAAGAAGTGAAAGAGTGAGAAAGGCAATGCATTGATTATGCATTCGGTGGGGGTGAAGTCATTGAAAATGACGTTGTGAAGAACCGTGTTTGAATGTGAAGAAGTGAGGACCTTCAACATTTGACAATTGGCAAAAGGGGTATATCGTGTAAGTATGCATGTTAGTTCTTCAATACAAGTGATGTTTTT